ATTGTCAAACAACAATTCATCTGCTGCAACATCTATTTTGAGTGTGCAAACAAAGTAGCAAATTGGCGGATTGTTAACAGCACAACAAAATTGCTTTTCAAGGCATCCTTAAAAAGTCACACTCAATCTTCATTTTGAAGCATTGATTGGATGAACCGGGTATTATTTGTTCAATCAATGGCAATGGCGAACAAGTATTGAAATTGCAAAAAATCCAAAAATTAAATATTTTTTTGTTTGGATAAACGACATGCGTCACGGAAAAACGTCTTGCGATGTTACATGAAACGAAAAAGCATTTTAGTCGTTTCCGTCAGTATGTTGAGCTTTAGTCTGTCTGTGAGTCTACCTAACAATTCAATAACTCAGAAAGTGCCGCTCGGATTTTGATGAAACTTTTACATAGAGTCACTGCTATGTTAACAACGGAAAAGCTCTGTAGGTTGAAGATCAGTTCAGCAACGACAAAGCTACAGGCGAGATACAAGAAGAACTTATGGAAGCTACATTTTTTGACCTGAAAATATTGGGTCGCGGGTAGCGAGCTTGAGCATTGCTCCTTTGGTAGCAGTGAAGGATACTCTATTATGAAGCTTCAGATCCCGGTAGTATTACGTATCTGCTAGACATAACTTATGTATGTCCAAAAAGCTTTGGCCCACGATTCATTGGATTTATTTTTAACAAACACAAAATAATATCAAGTTGCCTTTGGAAACAAAAGTTTGTATACTTACTTTTATGTCAGTTGACATTTATTTATTTTGTTAGTTAGTCAGTTGCTAGTTTTAGCTTTAAGATGCCGTATAAATTAGAAATAAGAAAAAGTATCTACAAGTTGGTTGGGTGGGTACCCAAAGCTGAAATCTGTCGAATATTCCAGAATGAAAAAAATTCACGCAGAACCATTTATCCAGCAATAGCGCCATGCGAGCAGGGAAAACCGTGTCTCAATCTCCCAAAAAGTGGGAGACCACGTGCATTTACTGCACAGATTTCAGAGTTGATTGGTGAGAAGAGCAAAAAATCAGGTTGGAATGTCAGACTGGCTCGTCAGTACAGATCTTTTGAGAGTACGATATCGTTGGAATTGAGGAAGAATAGTTTTAATTATCGGAAGAAACTTAAGTGTCCCAAATAGGGGAGACCGGGGCTGAAAGTGACAGGGGTAGGTTGTTACAGTGGCAATGATCGCGGAACAGAGAACGCAATACTGACGTTAGAAAGGGACAAATACTCCCGCCACTGCCGGCACGCATGCCCCGGGAGCCAGTGGTGCCAGCGTTTTTGTGAGGGGAGCACGTGCATGCTGCCATTAAAATCGCAGGTTAGTAAAATTTTATACTTTTAGTAATATTGGTTTACAACCTATGTTACATAAAGGCAGAGATATCCTTGTTGTGATTATTATGCCCTAGTGCTGGCGCTTTGCAATTAATCTACTTTTATACAGCTACGTTTATTGTCGTTTTCACTACATAACCTTAAAAGATCAGATTTGGCGGTGGGGCTAAAAGTTACGTTTGCTCGGGGCAGGTTGTGATTTGTCACTACCTGCCCCGTAGTGCTTGTTTCCGACTGACATAGTTTGTGCTACATATTTTTTGTCTTTTCTTTATAGGATGAGGACGTATATAAGAAAAACGGAGCGGGGCAAAATATCTAAAGATATTTATGAGCAAGCAGCAGTTATTTTGGAGGAAGACAAAACTAAAAAAATTCGTGGCATCGCTAAGGATTTCGGATTATGTCATATGTCGCTAACAAGATATTTAAAGAAACGAAAACAAGCAAAAGAGAAGGGCACACCTGTGGAATCTCTCACAGTCGGCTACCAGAAGAATAGACAAGTTTTTAACGATGAACAAGAGGCAATTTTGGTGAGTTATTTGATTAAATGCAGCCAAATTTACTACGGACTAACGCCAAAGGATGTCAAGCAACTGGCATTTTCTTGTGCACTTAAGCACAACATTGTAATGCCACAATCGTGGCTAGACAAAAAGGAAGCAGGGTCTGATTGGCTAGCGGCATTTCTTAAACGCAATAAGTCGTTATCTATAAGATCACCAGAAGCTACAAGCTTGAGCAGAGCCACATCATTCAATAAAACGAATGTTGGTGATTTCTTTTCTAAATTGGCTGATGTGATGGATAGATATAAATTTCCTTTGGCACGGATATGGAATGTAGACGAAACAGGTGTGACAACAGTACTGAAACCAAGAAAAGTTTTAGCTCCAAAAGGATCTAAACAAGTTGGTTCCATCACATCAGCAGAGAGAGGGACTCTTGTAACTATCTGCGCAGCAGCAAATGCAGTGGGAAACTCGGTGCCATGTATGTTTATCTTCCCTCGAATTAAATACAGAGACTATTTTGTTCGCGATGGACCTCCAGGCTGCATTGGCGCCGGAAACGCAAGTGGCTGGATGACTGGACTTGAATTCAAAACATTTATGAAGCATTTCATAGATAATGTGAAACCATCTCCATCTGACCCTGTTCTTTTATTATTAGACAATCATTCTTCACACTTGGATATTGATGTCGTCGAAATGGCTAAAGAAAATAATGTGGTATTGCTGTCCTTCCCACCACACTGTTCGAATAAGCTCCAGCCTATGGATGTGGCGGTCTACGGACCATTCAAAAATTACTGTGCCAGTCAACAAGATGGTTGGCTTAGAAATAATCCAGGAAAGACAATGACTGTACATGATATACCATCAATAGTGAAAAATGCTTTACCCTTGGCATTAAATCCCAAGAACATTATTAACGGATTTAAGAAGACTGGTATTGCACCATTCAATAAAGATATTTTTCAAGATGATGACTTTTTGTCGGCTTTTGTTACTGATAGACCACTAGGCGAAACGATCAACTCGAACATCGAAAATGTTCCTGTTACGACACAGAACGGGGAGGCTTATGTTTCAGCTCTACCTCCTCCTCATTCTCCTATACAGAGTGCCATGGCATATCCCGAGAGCTCCATTCATGCTAACCCAGTTGCTGGCTGTAGTAAAGATATGATGCCTAACGAAAATAATTTTTCTCCCGAGACTGTTCGGCCTTATCAAAAAGCTGCTGCGAGAACAACCAAGATAAGAAGAAAAACTCGCAAATCAGCAATTTTAACTGATACACCAGAAAAAAATGCTTTGGCTCTGGAACAGAGTAAGAAGAAGGATAAACAATCCAAAAAAGAAAAGTCAGATAAAGGGGGAAAATCTACAGCAAAGAAGACAGAGATAGAACAGGAAAATACCAATAAGAGAAGGAAAACAAGTAACGAAAAAAGAATCCTTGCTGCAAAGAGGAAAGTATTACATGACACTGACGAAGAAAGTGCAGAAGAGGATGGATATTTTTGTCTGATGTGTTGTGATCCTTTTGATCCGAAGAAATCTGGTGAGGAGTGGGTACAGTGTAGAGCTTGCAAGAATTGGTCACATGTGAAATGTGTTAGAGGAAATATTGCATATTACGTATGTGTGAACTGCGAAAGTGATTTTTCAGACTACAGTGACTAAACTGCTTGGTATTTTTTTAAGTGTAGTTTATCTTCAATTACAAAATACGTTATGTTGATTAGTAGGCACGAAGGTTTTATTTAATACCTACAGAGCTTTATAATCTTGTAGTTGAAAAATTATCCATGTTTTGATTTAATGAAGAATACCCAATGTTAAGTTTGTAATTTTGTTTCTTTTTAGATGTTTTCGTTGTAATGAGGCAAAATACTGCTCTATAGATATAAGCATATTATTGAAATTAAGAAAAGTGACTAATTATGTTGAGTGTTCCTAATAAAAACTCTTATAATACGTTTGTTTCTTAGTGTAACAATTTGCCCCATGTAATGTAACAACCAGCCCCCTGCATGGGGTTGAAAGTTACACGGTTTTCTTTTCAGAATCCATTTATTTACGTCATTGCTATTTGTCTGCTATATAAAATATATTTTGGTAAAAGATCCTGAATAGTTACTTCATCAAACAAACCAATACTCAGGTGAAACAATTGAACCACTAAGAAGATATGACAGTTTGAAAAAAAAATGTCACAACCAGCCCCGGTCTCCCCTACTCCCAAGCCCAACTCCTTCATATACAAAAATGCAGTCGTCGGCTGAGCCGGGTACACTTTGCCAATGGAAAAATGATTATTTTAGATGAAGAAAAGTATTTCACATTGAGTAATTTTAAAATGAAGGAAAACGACCGATTTTATACGGACAACGTAGAGAAATGTACTGAGAATGTTAAATACAAACATAAAGCGAAATTTGCAGATAAAATCGTTGACTGGAACGCAGTTCCTAACAGGGGTGTATCCCAACCTTTTGTGGGAAGAGTGAGAGGTGAAGCTTTGATAAGTCAGATAACGGCCTTTTGAAATTGCTTTATTTTGTCCACGAATATCATGCTATTGACCATGTCATGTTTTGATCAGACCTAGTATCATGCCACTACTCGAGAGATACCCAAAACTGGCTCCGACAAGACATACTTTTGTTCCCACAAACGGTAATCCTTCAAACCTGCCGCAGGCTCGCCTGATCGAGGATTTTTGGGCTTTACTGTCTAGGAAGGTTTATCATGGAGGCTGGGAAGCTGACGATGAGGAACAATTAAGTCGGCGAATTTACGAAAAACTGAGAGAATGGACTGCTTCACATAATTCCATAGTATAGTTTAGTTAAGTATTGAGTTGTAATTTCTGATAACCAGTTAGTGTTAAACTGAGTATCTTCATTAAAAACAACTTTTATGCCATACGTTCATAGTCAAGGTACGATAAATTGAAACGCTAGTAGGTTTAATTCACGCTTCAGACCGTCTAATGCTTATTCATTTCACAGCTTATGATTTGTTAGCAGGATACATAAAGTTCTTCAATCTATAATATATATTTCTATATAATATGTCTCCTTTTTCAAGTTATTCATCAACATCTTGCAATGAATTATTGGCCATTCGTGGAATACCATCAGAACTTGAAAAATTCCCACTTTTTTCTGATCAGCAGCGGAACTTCTCGGGAAAGCTACCACAGCCCATATTCAAATTTCTTGCCCCATTAGCCGGCAAAATTATGAAGCTGTCGAAGTTATATTACATTCGGTAGATTATCCGCACGCCTTACAGCGGTTACGGCAAATCGCGTTTGCATATTTAATGACGTTGCTGTCTACTCTCATAGCTCTCCGTATCGCTAATGCATTATGCATACTTCATCCAATTTTGGCCACCTGAAAATTAGAGCAGCAATGGACACTGGGTAATACAGAAAGGACTGCCCGTGAACGAGTTAACAATTAGCTGTCCTTACGCATAATTGATTCTTTCTTTAAACGACAGTCAGTAATTGCAGCTCAGACACCGCTGTAATGAATGTTTGACTACAGTCTTGAATATCACCCTATTGCAGTATATTTGGCGAAAACATTCATTTACACCGACACTGACTCTTCGATTCAGTTCATAAAAGTTGGTATCGCTTTGGGCGAGAACGCCAGTATTGTTGCTTTAGTACATTTGAATCTATATCACCTTAGGACTACTTCAACAGCAATTAGTTAGACGCTGTCACGTGCCAAAATCAAGTATCCTCTTTTTTACTATTTATCACTCATCCGTAATTTAAATTTCTCTCCATTGATAATAGATTGCCCATCCCTAGGCCAAACATTTTTCAATTATTTCCTTTTTGGAAATTTAATAGTTTATTGATTGCGTAATTTCACTCGTATTATATCTTTCTTTCTCAGCGATTTAGTATGGTGTTGACGATCAGCAAAAAAACTCTGTAGTTATTCTCCGTTAGCTGGTTGCCTATAAAACATATATTCTTCAAGTCCACTCAAGATTCCTTCCTCTAGAACGTTACGTATTCTGCGTGATTCGCTTTTCAGTTTCCATTGAGGTCGTGGTGCAGGGGTCGTTTTGTCGTTTTCGGACTCAGGGATATTAGGCTCCAAGTGCCTATTCATGGACTATCACCCTTTTCTTTTTGTTGTGTAACTTAAGTTTAATTATTTTGGTTTGGGTGCTACATCTTCCATTTTTTATGGGATTTTGACCCTCAGCGGTGTTCTTTTTTTATATACCTTCGGACCGCGTGCCTTAATGCGTGTCCTTATGACGTTCGTTCAATATCTGCTTTCTTTTTTTTTCATATACTCCAAATACCACGAAGGCCTAAGGCCTAAAGACTCATTGGGTACCGTGGCGCTATAGGGGGATACAGGGAAAAGGGGGAACGCCACACGGACTCTGGCGAGGGAACACGTGTGCATGCAACATGCACACATTCTGGCTCCGCCTACGAGATCCGCCGGGTGGTACCTCCATGTTCGACAGTCAGAGACCCTCTACCACCTACGGACAATCACAACATCCATAGCCAAGAGAAAAATTTCTCCTGGGACGGGACTCGAACCCGAACAGCGCACGGCGACTGATCAGGAGACTGAAGAGTCTACTACTGCGGCCACCGCTGCTGCTGTCAATAGAACAGAAAAAAATCATTACCCTTTCTCCTCCAGTTAGTTGCATCGTTGCAGTTTTGCAAACTGGAAGCCGTCCCCTTGAAAAAACCCTGATGTGAACAGGTAAAATATCATTCAAATTAACAATTTCATAGATCTGTATACATTTATTATTGCTTATTTAAATTCGTAGAGAATTCTTGATTTTATTAGACAGTCTACGTATTCAAATATGAGGGCAGTACCTACATGGCACCTTCTACTACATTGATCATGATTTTGAATTTTGAGCTGCCATAACTTTTTTAAACAAGGGTATATTAGTTTGGTACATTTTTATCTTTTTTTTGCCTTTGTTTTACTTTTCTTATACGAAAAACATGTACATGGTTTTGCTTCAAGTGCGATTGTTTTCAATGAGTAGTTTTATCTCAGACAGATAGTAGAGTAGATTTTTAAAGTCTTTCTCTCTAGGGTTTTTTTTTTGTTACTTCCATAATTTTTGGGACCGAGGCAAGCTGCCCCTGCCCACTACTGGCCACTTTTTACCAGATTCGAGGACATCCCGGCCGCGCCTGACAAAGAAGTTCAATATTTAGGCGCAAAATATCTGTTAATACTTCGGGCGTATACCACGGTAGACGTTTCGCGGTTGTATTTAAGATTTGCAACATACTTTCTCCTTTTCATTACTGTGGTGAAGCACATGTGCGTTTTTTTTTTAATCAATATGTTGTGATCCATTTGGTATCTTGTTTATTTGGCTCTCTCTGTGTGTACTGTTACTTAAATTTCGTCATCTCTGTCAGATTCTTCTTCTGTGTGGTGGTCAAGCAAAACAAGTTCCGACTAACATCTCGGGGTGTTGTGGCTTAATACGTCCTAAGTCACTGGCACTCTTAACCCTTGCCCCTACTCTCCGCTTTATTGAGCTAGGGCCTAAATTTGCACGCCACTAGACAACTGTCTTGCTTGGACCAACCGTTAGATAGTATTTATCATTGTGTTTTGTTAATTAACTAAAAAAAGGCGTGGCAACACATCACCCGCTCACCAACAAGGAAGGCCGAATCTATCATATTTATGTTCTTGTCGGGCGATCAAATACGATAGAAGCTATATATTTTACAGCTTTCTGGCAAAAAAAAATTCAGAAACTGTTATTCATTATACAAAATGAATTAGATACTCTACAGTGTTGTCTGGTGTCTTTTGAGTACTTTTAACCTGTTACTTATGAACATTCAGATTTTATTGGGGAATAACAGATTTCTGGTGAAAGCAAACGATATAGATATAGATATATATTATCATTAGTCCATTTCGACCTTGACATACTATACTATGCTATACTTTCACTAAGCTTCTCTATTGTATTGGCCAAGTCGTATCTGCATAGACACTATAGATAGTATCTCCTTAGTTCTCTTCTCTTTGTCTCCCATGTGATGTGTCGTATGTGATGTCTATTGTACACCTACTGTACGTTTAGTGATGAGTAACGGATTCCAAGAGATTTCGGACATTTGAAAAGCAGAAGACAACGATATAATAGGAAATAAATTAATGTATGCAGTACGTATACGAGTAGTAGCATATATTACATTATAGGTGTAAGCATACAATTGCTAATAACTTACTTTATACACATTTAAAATTTACTTACTGGTTTCGCTGACGTTTGGCTCTACCTCCGTCCCGAACGAGCTGCCCCCCAACCTACTGTATTTCAGCGTATCTGCAACGAACACAAATGCAATTGATATTGTTGTTTCGACTATTACTCAAACATGAGCTAAAAATGCTGTTGATTGTAGTTTATTCGCGTCAGCTGCCTATATTAGACAGTGGCATACCTGGACTTGTTCTATTGTTGTTACCTAAAGGTAACTATAAGCGAATCGTGATTCCTTGTTAAAAGATGTTGGCTCTGCAATCGAATAAAGAATGTATGCTACTGGTTCACTACTTGATTTCTGACCGTCTGATAAAGCCGTTTTGAGATAGTGGCAAATTGTAGTTTCGAATTTCAATATAATTCCCCAAATTATTATAATGCTTCTCGAAATAATACTTGAAGAAGCGCGCTGTGCTGTGCCTTTCTACACAAAACGCTACCGCAATCTGTTGAAGTAGAGACAAACCATCCAACACATTGTATTGATTCAGACAATGATGTTTAGGTTGGCGCCTCCTGCAGTTTGGAAGCTGAAACTCGGCTGCTGTGTCGATATGTTCACCCACAAAAAATCAATATATCAGCGCCATCTGCAGGAGATAGGGGTATATGTTCTCCTTTTTGTATGAAACAGCATCGTAGTGAGATGGATTAGGAATAGAAAGTTGGGATACGAAAATTACAAAACCGGTATGACCCAATATTAACTATGTACAAAGGGGCCATGTATGAAACGCTAAAAAGGAGGTTCCGAAGAGCAAAGCTCCTCATAGTTCATGTATGAGAATTGCTAAGGTAGTAACAAAAACTAGCAGCCTCTACATATACAATGAACAGACTCCCGCAAGAAATAGTGGTCTATTCAGATGTTTAGATTAGCATTGTTGCAGCGACGAAAAGATTAAAACTTGCTATCCTAATCCACCCCTGTAAAGATCCAAAGCTATCCGTTGTAGCAAGGCTCGAGTTGAGCAGTTGCATTAGAGATGGCGCTGTGGTCGACAAATATAGATCAAGCGTATAAAATGGAATATTCAAATGAGGGCATTTGGATGAGTTCCAAATTCACTTTACAAATTCGTGTGAAGTGAATAATTGAATGTTCATGGGGTAAATTGTGTCCCCACCTTGTATAGTCACAAAAAAATTCAATGGCCTGCCAAGTGAATTAGTAGGGGTGCGGAGTTTCCAAGATTAATTTTGGAAGAGAGTTAAGATTGAATTTGACTATCTGGGTCAGCAAGGCTAAATAGCATGAGCGATCAGAACTGTATTATTGTTCAATTTTATATTACAATAAAAGAATGCAATCCGGGAAAGTTGCAGTGCTTTCGAAAAAGGCGAATATCGGTATGATAGACTGTCAGAATTCGCGGTTTTCTATATCGAACCGCTTGTAACTCAACAACCAGTCGTCAAAATACTACACTATGTTATTTCAACCTTCCTTTTTGAAATGACATATCGAAACATGTAATGACAAAAAATATGGAACACTACTCAAAAAAAAATTGTCAAAAACTGTCAATCCTTTTTAAACCAAATGTCGCAGACTTTATCGCACAGTCACATGGACACGTACTACATCATTTTTATGATTGGTTGTTGAGTTGTAAGTGGCCCATTGAATTTGGCTTGAATTTGGCACTCCGTCAGTCTGTCATTATGTTCCGTCCTCGTCAAAGTAAATATTTAGAATACATATCGTAGTACCCTCGTAGTAGTACTCAATCGCCACGATTTCAAAGCGCACACGCAGAGAAGGAAAGCGGCATCGCGCTCCTTCCTCCTACCCTTCTCCCCTCTGGCCCGCCTATAAACCTTCATTCCTTGTTCTCGTGCCCAACTATTAACACGCTAATCGGCGCGCATCGTTTTACGTGCAGTGCAGTGTCGAGGATCCGCTGAACATTTAGAATTAGAAAACAGGGCACAAGGTTAGAAAGTAGCGAGCAGGCCCCTTTTTCTGAAGGGGCGTCACCATCAGGTAAATGTCAACTAACCGATCTGTGGGTGCAAGTTAAATGAATATTAGTATGGATGAGTCACCGGCGCTGCAGATCGTGCCTAGCATGACGTTTAGGATAACGTTCTGACACTGTTGCTTGGGATAGCAACCTGGACCTAGCTTGTGATAGCTGACTCCATACCTAGAACGAACAAAGACGTTTCGGATAACGTTGAATCATTGAACTCGGTTGCTTGGGATAGCAACGTGGACCTGGCTTGGGATAGTCAGCTTCACACCAAGGACGAAATAAGATGTTTGGGATAACGTGGAAGCATTGGACTCGGTTGCTTGGGTAGCAACGTGCACCTCGCTTGTGATAGTCAGCTCCACACCAAGGATGAACGAAGACATTTGGGATAACGTTGTAGCATTGGACTCGGTTGCTTGGGATAGCAACACGGACCTAGCTTGTGTAGTCCACACCAAGGACGAATGAAGGTGTTTGGGAAAATGACTCAATACTGAACTCCATTGCACAAATGACAACACTGAAAGCATTTGGGACAACGTAGCAACAAAGTATGGCCAACAACCTTTTCTCATTTGCTTGTGATAGCAAATTTCATCTGGTTTGTGATAACCATGGAACAGCACCGTAAGTTTGAACATGGCAGGCTAGGAAGTTGTTATTACCAGATAGAGATTAGCGTTAGCGTTAGCGTTACATTTTGCTTGTGACAGCATACTCCATGTGGTTTGTGATAACCATAATAAGAATGCACAAGACAGTTTAGGAAACCGCCGAAGTACCATTTTTCATGAATAAAAAATATATATATACAGGGTGGGGCAAAAGTCGCGAAGGGATTTGAAAAATTAATAACTTTTTTAAATTTTAATTTTAATTTTTTTCCCTAACACAAAACTAAAATGCAATGTTTGGAGTTTGTTTACAATTTAAGTGTGAAAGATTACATCACGCAAATGACCGCCATTTTCAGCCTCGCAAAGTGCAGCTCTTGCAAGAGCATTTTCCATTACCCGAGTCATAATATCTGGCCCCAAAGCACTTACTTCTGCTCGAATATTATCTTTTAGTTGCTGCAGGGTTGTGGGTTTATTAATATACACTTTTCCTTTCAGATATCCCCAAAGGAAATAATCAGGGGCTGTTAAGTCCGGCGAGCGGGCGGGCCAATTGAATCCTGAATTTCTCGAAATTAAACGTTCGCCAAAAATCTGCCTTAGAAGGTGCATAGTGGCTCGAGCAGTATGCGCAGTGGCTCCATCTTGTTGGAAAGTCATCGTTTGATTGTCAGCAAGAGCTGGTCTTAAGAAATTTTGAATCATATCACGATATCGGTCGCCATCTACAGATACAGCATTCCCATCGTGGTCTTCGAAGAAGAATGGTCCAATAATTCGTTGAGACGTAACTGCGCACCATACTGTACATTTAAGCGGATGTAATTGCCTTTGATGAACCACCCTTGGGTTCTCGGTACCCCATATTCTGCAGTTCTGCTTATTTACGAAGCCATTCAAATGAAAATGGGCTTCATCGCTCATGATCAGAGAATGAATAAATTCATTATCTTCTCGAGCCATTCTTTGCAAGCGAACTGCATAAGTTAGTCGTTCTTGAAAATCTGCTGGTTTTAGTTCTTGCACTAGCTGCACTTTATATGGAAACAGATGTAAATTTCCTCTTAATATTCTGCGTAAAGACCTTTGAGACATCTGCAGCTCAGCAGAACGTCTTCGGGTTGAGGTTTCCGGATTCTCCTGAACACTCTCCTGAACGCGTTGAATGTTCCCTTCATTTCTTGCGGAACGTGGCCTTCCGCTTCGTGGGAGATCCATAACTGTGCCTTGTTGCTGAAATCGTGCCACTAAGCGTCGAATCATTGATTCAGAGGGCGAATTCCGCAAATTGAAATGACGACGATATGCTCGTTGAGTTTGAATTATTGAATGGTGATATTCAAAATAAAATTCTATAAGTTTGGTTCGTTGATTGAGGTTGTAACGCTCCATAATTAATCTCCAGGATTTATTTTACACGGTCCTGAAAAAAAATGAAAACAAAATAAATTTAAAAAAGTTATTAATTTTTCAAATCCCTTCGTGACTTTTGCCCCACCCTGTATATATATATGCGACACTAGCGTTACAATTTGTTTGAGATAGCAAATTCCATCTAGTTTGTAATAGCAGTGTAACAATATAGCATTTTTCATTCATAACAGATAAAAATTGGGTACATCTATGTGATACTAGAGCGGTACATTTTGCTTGGGACAGCAAATTCTATCTGGTTTGTGATAGCAGTGTAGCAATATAACATTTTTCATTTATATCAGATAAAAATTAGGTACATCTATGTGAGACTAGCAGTACATTTTGCTTGGGATAGCAATTTTCATCTGGTTTGTGATAACTATGGAACAATATTGTAAGGATGAACATGAGAAGTTAGGAAGAAGCCGAAGTACCATTTTTCATTAATGAACGACAAAGATTAGATACATAGCAAATTCCGTGTGGTTTGTGATAACCGTGGAATAGGTGTGTAATTATGAACATGTCAGGTTAGAAAACCGCCAATGTAAAACTTTTTCTTATCACCAGATAAAGAATAGGCATCTTATGCGAGGTTAGCGTTACATTTTGCTGTGATAGCAAATTTCATTTGGTTTGTGATAACCTTGGAGTATCTTTGTCAGAATGCACATGACGGTGCGGAAAACCACTAAAGTACCATTTTTCGTTAATAACAGATAGAGATTAAGTTTTATCTGTGTGAGACAAGCGTTACATGTTGCATGTGGTAGCAAATTCCATATGGTTTGGAATAGCTATCGAACAGATCAATAATAAGCACACGACAGGCTACGAAGCAGCTGAAGTACTATTTTTCATTAACAACATATAGAAATTAGGTACATCTATGGGAGACTAGTGTTACATTGTGCTTGTGATAGCAAATTCCACATGGCTGGAGATAACTATGGAACGGCACTGTACGTATGAACATCACCGGTTAGGAAACCACCAAAGTTCTAATGTTCAGTAGTAACAGAAGTTACATATTGTAGGTGCATATTTG